GCGGAGAAAGACCTTGAATCTGGTGCAGGCATTCCCCAGCGCCAGCTGAGAACTTATCAGTGCTGCTCCCTGCATCCAGGAACAGCTTCCTAGCAGCCACGGTAAAGGGAGTTAACTCTTTCCTGACTGAACCCAGCACAGTATGACAAGCCTTTATGAGAAGGCTGCAGGAGTGCAACAGATATATTGTTCACTTTCACTCTTTTGAAAGGTGGAAGAAACCTTAAAGGCATTATCCTGGACATATTAGTCTTGGCAAGGCAAGAGGAAAAGGCCTGAATGGATACAAAGCAAAATGATAAATGGAAATGCTGCAAAAGCACAGGAGTGCCATAAGAAAGAAATAAATCCCTTTCACTACAGTGGTTGGTCAGTTCTAACGCCACATGAAAACATTTGTTCGGAAGATGAAGATTAAAGACAGTACCAATGGTTGCCATTTCATGTGACCAGTCCTAACAGCATGGCGGCTAATGTTTAATTTTAACACTCAACTTGAAAGAAAAAATCCAAACTCTGCACTGTGATAGAAAATACAAGAGATGTCATGAACTCGACAAATGCAAAGTGGCATCTCAGATCAGTCAAAATCACATGAACATTGAATCCTCCTGTCCTTCAAGGTACAAAAGGTGCAGTGCATCGAAGACGGAAATAAACCTACCACCTACCATAGACAACCTTCAAAATACCTTACAGAATAGTTGCATGCGTGATTCTGAGGGTGTGGAAAGCTCAAACCTAGCATGTGCTGACCATGATATAAGCAGCAGGCCTAAGTTCAACACCAAAGCTCTATCAAAGTTAACTGATGCCTATTTTGCTGTGCAGCACACAATTTATAACTGAACACAACATTCTCAAAAATTTTCTGTCCTTGCCTAATTCTGTAACATCAAAAGTGGGAAGGGAAAAAGTACCAAGAGAAAAAGTACTAAGAACAGCGGAAAGTAAAAAATTTTAATTGAGTATTTCAATGTTATTTATTTTGTAAAAGTTGTTTAGAACAATTAGCTCCTTTTCTCTGATGGAAGCCACGTGAAATCTGCTACACTAATAAAAACCTCCAAAGGCAGTAGTATGAGAGTAACTCAATAGTCCACTTAAAGAAATAAAAACAAACCTTCTGATTTTCTTCTATTTCATTTCGCATTTTCTTGTCTACAGGCACTCTCGTCAGTGATCTGTAAAAATGAAATACTGGTATCACTCAACCACTATATTTTGAAAATGCATTCAATAATGTGAATTATGTATTTTAATACCATATCCAATGCACCGTAATTGAAGAATCCTGTAATTAAGACTTGATGAGTAATGCAGAGTCATAAATATTTTCTTTTCAAAACAAATATTTTGTTCTGTGTTAGTCTAATAAACCCAGGTTTCAAATTTATATGCTAGGCTTTGCTGAATTAATAGTATAAGCATATTTTTTTACCACTCTAAAGCTTTTCTCTTATTTTTTTCTGGAAAATAGCATGTGTATTCTAAAAATGTAAGTTGTTTGACCATCTAAATTATTACCTAAATTAGCTATACCTCTTGTATATTTTAAGTTAATGCTACTAACTCCATGCTACTCAACATTACAGCACAGGCGGCCAAGGACACAACTCGATGTTATGGCCAAAGGCAAGGAAAATATGCAAAGAATGGCCACTTTAAAATTAGCTGAGATGAGAAAAGAGGTTTACAGACTGAAACCCTTGAAAATGTGAAGTATTCACAGACAGCCAAAATTAGTCATTCCACCTTTAGAAGATAATCCACTGATTTGTCTTTTTTACCTTTCAAGAATGTTGTGGAAGAGTATTTTAATTTCCTCTGCCAGAATATATTGTACGTGAGGTTTACAGTTTCTAGGCTATCATAAAATACTTCCATAGGCAAATTATTCTATCCATGTTTTATGAAACCCTAAAACATATTAACTTAAATATGATTTTCCCGATAAATGCCAAAATGAATACTCGAGTTGCCTACATAATTTTTTTTTTCAAAACAACATTGTACATTTTGTAGCAAATTCGTAAGGGGCTCTAAAAAACTGGAGTCATCTTAAACTTGAGAGTTTATTAAAACTGAGAATGGTCTTACTAAACGAATTTATGGTAATAAAGGAGTTACTAAATAATATAAATCCTCATGTTGCCCCAAGAAGAAACTGATTTAGAACAGATCTCCCTTGTAAGCTCCCTATTTTTCCCAGTATGTCAGACATAAGACATAAAATTAGTTTACTTTAAACAAATACTCAAGCTATCCAGGCATGCAGTAAGACTACTTGTTAAGTTCAAGCAATATGTTTTCCAAGCTTTGGTTATAAATACTACACAATTCATCACAGCTAAATACCCTTTTTCCATTCATACTCCCTAAATATTCTGGTAGATTATTTTTGTGACTGCGAATCCCTTCTGGAACACATGATGAAAGGGTGATGGAGGATCAAGAAGGAGCTGCATTTATACCAAGCCATACTTGGTGGACTTTCCTTGGCTCCAAATGAGCAAGATGTAACTCAAACTGTGATGTCAAAGACAGCAGTAGAAAACAGTCAACATGGTTCAAACATATTATTATCAGCAGTCATTGGTGGATGAGCTTAATAGCTTGCTTATTATTGTTCAGCTCATTTAAACTCTTTCTCATAAGGCTTTTATAATCATGCTGTCAGGTACTCTCTGTGCACATAAAGAATGTAGTAAGTGTGTTCAATACTGAGTAAATATATCTTGTACTGTTATTACTTTGTGTGTTCACTACTTTTAAAATAATAATGGTAGAACAGAAAGCAAGAAACTATAAACATTTCTGCTGAAAAAGAAACATTGCTGATCAAGATTTTAAAAAAAAAAAATATATGGGAAGAAACTGTAAATACAAATAAAAGAATATCTGAAGCCAAATTTAGATTTGGAAAAATGGAGAAGTTGTAG